ATTTGCCAAGCACAAAATAATTACGGTGACAACCCTTGGGGGCGGTCATCGGTACCCGTCAAATTGCTCGGGGCGATCTTCACAACCTAATTGGAGACCCCGACGCTTGCACGGAGCTTTACACCACAATGATTGAGCTCCAAACACCACCAACCGTCGAGGGCGCCCAAGCACCCAAGAGAAACAAGCTCAAGGGTACCAAGCACCCAAGAGTAATAAACTTCTCAACTTGTAACTTCCACGTATCACGTGGAGAACTTAAACCGATGCACCAAATGCAATGGCAAGGGCACACGGAGTGTCCAAGTCCTTCTCTCTCAAAACCCATCGAAACAACTAATGCTAGGGAGGAAAATGAGAGGAAGAACAAGAAGGAGAACACCAAGAACTCCAAGATCTAGATCCAAGGGGTTCCTCTCACAAAGAGGAGAAAGTGATTGGTGGAAATGTGGATCTAGATCTCCTCTCTCTTTTCCCTCAAAAACTAGTAAGAATCCATGAAGGGATTGAGAGTTAGCAAGCTCAAAGAAGGTCAACAATGGGGGCAAAAACGAGCTTAAGAGATCAGATTCAATGGGGAAGAAGACCCCCTTTTATAGGTGGGGGAAAATCTAACCGTTATGCTCACAGCCCGCACAGAGCGGTACTACCGCTCCAAGGAGCGGTACTACCGCTAGGGCGGTAGTACCCCTTTGAAAACAACAGCGAGGAGGCAAAAGGCCAGTAGAACCAACGGAGCGGTACTACCGCTCGTCCTCACGGTACTACCGCAAAGGGTAGCGGTACTACTGCTAGCGAGCGGTACTAAAAAAATACATCCGGGCCTACCACCGCAGGACTTGGGACGAGTTTTTGGTCCGGAGCGGTACTACCGCTGTAGGAGCCGTGGTAGTACCACTATGGAGCGGTATTAAAAAATTACATCCGCTCCAATTCGCGGTAGTACCGCTGCAGCCTTTTCAGAACACCAAAACTGCCACAACTTTTGCAAACGGACTCCTAATTTGATGAAACCAAGTTTGTTGGAAAGCTAGCGACAAGGGCTAACACAATATTGAAAGAAATATCAATAAGAAGCAAATTAGAAAATTCCCAAAAGAAAATGGTGAGAACCCTTCCTCGGATAAGACCGGTAAAACCTCCAACACTGAAAACATCATAGAAGGCGCATGCAAACTCCGTTTTCGATGAACTCAAGCTTTGTCATCAAGATGACCATAAGATCTAAGACTCACAAAGAGAACCAAACAAGAATCAAGAAACATGATGCAAGGATGCAATGGTTTGAGCTCTCGACGAATGATACGATCAAGCTACTCACTTGAGAGCCCCCCTTGATAGTACGGCTATCGATCCTATAACCCGGTCTCCCAACTTCCACCATGAGACCGGTAAAATAGAAAATCTATCAAGGGCAAACCTTTGCCTTGCACACGATCGACTTGAGCTAGATGATGACGATCTTGTCCTCCTCAAGATGGACCACCTTTCTTGATTGCGTTGGGTCGATGGAGACTAGATGATTGCTCCCCCATACTCCACTATGGGTGAGCCACTCTTCGTCACATCTTCACAAGTCCATTGACACCACAATGGATGGCAAGCTTCAAGCACTTGATCTCTTCGTGATTCTCCACTTGAACTTGCACACGTCAATCTTGATGACGATCACCACTTGATGTCATCCTTCCCATGGGTTGTATGATATCATCCTCTTGACGCAAGCCCATGGACACGTACCTAACCCCACATAGACTCTAACATAGACCATGGGTTAGTACACAAAGTGCAATGGACAATGCTTACCATACCATGGGATCACTTGATCCCTCTCGGTACATCTTCTACTCTTTGTGAGTTGATCAACTTGATTCACTCTTGACTTAGTCTTGATCAACCTTGAATCTTTCCAACTCTCTTCGTTTGGATGATGTCTGGAAGGTAAACATGAATGATCACACAATCTTCTTCTTCAAGACATGCTTGCAATAAGCTCAACACTCACATGACCAATCTTTGGATAATTCCTTAATAGCACCTTGGTCAACCCATAAACTCCTTGAAACCAACACATGGACTTCAAGAAATGCCTATGGAAAAATCCTTCAAATATTACTCAATGCAACCATTAGTCCATAGAGAATGTCATCAATTACCAAAACCACACATGGGGGCACCGCATGTCCTTTCAATCTCCCCCATTTTGGTAATTGATGACACTTTCAAGAGAGTTTATATAAGGAATTATTCATCACCATGCAATACAACAACCAATAATGCATGCGTAGGAGATGCGTATGCTTAGGAGCATACCAAAGCCAGAAGAGACAACTCTCTAAACTTCTCCATAAAACTCTCTTAAACTTCTCCCTCATTGGCATCGATTGACAAAATGGGCTAAAAGCTTAGAAGGCCAATATAAAATGTGTTCCTCCATAAATTGTGTATTTCTCAACAAGAGAGTGGAATGCAATACACATATCCAACGATAAATACTTGGAGGAAGACAAACTATATTGAGGCCCAAAGATTGAAAAAGGAATATATGCCACAAAGACATAATCAAAGAGAGAAACAAGCAATCAAAAGATACCAATTGAAGCAAGCTATCAAAAGATACCAATTGAACCAACTAGGCCAATGATCCTACGAGCCACATGAATAAAGGATATTATGATAAGAGCGGAGCAGTGTTCTAAAGAATCTGGAGAAGCTCCCCATGATTTTTGCACATCAAGAATTTTTGTATTTGGATACAAAGTGCACAAAATAGGATCATAGCTCCCCCAAAATCAATAGAAACTTACAAAAAGTGCAAGAGAGCATATAGGAAACTAAGCCTGGTACTTGCAACAAACACATGGTTGAGCAACAAGTAAGAGATGCAACTTAAGAGTGGGCTCAACCAAAAATATGTGTGTGAGTCAAGGCAATGCACTTGAGAAGACTAATGTACAGAAGAGCATTAAGCATCAATAAAGTCTTCAAAGAATGAGGCACATGGTGCAAGGCCTATCATTCCCACACACAACTAGCAAATGGGTTCACAAGCTTACTAATAAGCATATAGAGAACCTATGCTTGTGACAACCCGCGGTGAAGATAGAAGATGAAAGGCGCATCAAGACGAGAGATGCCAATTAAGATGGCAAAAACCTCGTAAAGATAAGCAAGAGGAAAATAATCTTCACCACACAAGAGCGCATTAAGATGCAACGATAGAAGACACACACTCAAGGCAAAAGCTTTCACGGAGCCACCAAAGAAATAACATAAGAAAGACAAGGTGGACGTGAAAGAAAGGATATCATCTAGATATGCAACTTCTCTCAAGTGTATAAGATTCTAGGTGGACGAAATCATGATGATATATATATATATCTACAAAGAAGGATGTACACCCGAAATAGTTACAACATGAAGGAACAAGATATCCAAAAGGAAGTCATACATATACCAATAAGATATTTGCTTGAGAGCATAGCACATGGCTAGATATGGTCTTATCGTATATAAATGAATTCCAACCACACGAACATCAAAGACATCACAACTAGCAACAAGACATCATTGTTGGGATGCTTTGAGAAAGGAAATAAGTATCACAAGAAAGAATGGATAACATGCCATGATACAACCTACACAAGGTTGATGCAAGAATTGTGTGCATGAAGTATATGAAGATACTTGTTACCGAGATAACATTGGAAGGATGTAGTAGATACC